ATCGTTGGGGCGTTTTTATGTTGAATCCGAAGTAGTTAACTGAGATCGTCACATCCAGAAATTACTTAGGAATCGTTGCAGTCATAGTTCGAGGAGTAGTCACATTTTTCAAGAACATGGACGTGGAAAGTGAAAGACCCCCAAAAAGGTCGAATCTAACAACGAGTTTTACTTAAAATCACAACCACGGAGCAAAATAAGTTTTTGCTTACCAACCGGTATGTGGGTCTATAATTAATTATCCAGGGTTTTGGGCTAACTGGTCTTCCAAAAACGGTGTTGACTCAAGGGGTTCTATTCTGAACTGAAATGCACTAATCGCGTCTGGGAAAAAATTCGCTGCTGCAACGAAAGCGGATACGACGAAGGGCTATTGGTCGAAACGGTAGCATAGCAACTCTTTACTGTGGCCGATAAAACCATATTCCATCATAAACTCTGTTGATAAAACCAGATTACAATTACATATCATTATCAATTACTCTTTCTCCTCCGCGCACATCCTCTAAACCCCTTTTTTCTAAGCATATTTACTTTGCTCTATTTGTAAATTCCATGTTGCCTGTTTTGTATTCTCACATTTTAATAACCTTTTACCTGCTCCTGTTTTCTCGATGCTTCATTTTAATTCAGTGATTGTCAAAATTATTTGACTCGTTCACGTTTTAACCTGCATAAAACCTGTCATAAGTATCAATTTGCTATTACTTGGCAAGCTCCTATTATTTGGAATGATATTCCGTTATCTGCGCGCAGTAATCTCACAGTAAGCAACTATAAAAAAAAAACCCTAAGACTGTATTTTTCTCTGAGTAGTTAATTAGCCTGAGCATAATCTGTATACTTTATGAGACTATATTAGGTGTATTTGTTTGTATTTGTTTGTGTGGTTTATTTAGCAAATAAACCCCTTCGGGCGGCTGGTATGTCGGCTGATAATGTCCGCGGCTGAGAGATTGTTCGAAAAGTGAATATTTGACCGAGAAGCGAAGCTTCGAGTGCAAATATGAAATTTTGAGGGGTTTATTTATTTTATAACCCTTCCATTAATTTTCACATCGCAATTAAACTGCGCGTAAACACAGTAAAAAAGCCAGTGGTGATCTGATGGCGAATCCACGTGATTGACGCAAGCAACCAAAAAAAAAACGAGTTTGGTTTCCTTCCATGTAAATGGGAGAACGGAAAAGTTGAAACTCTTGTGCTGACTATGTTTCTTTTTCATGGAAAAAATCGGAGGACAAATATTGACGCGGACGGGGGTTATTGCGTGATAACTGTCCTGTGATTTTGCACCACGTGACGTAAAGTAACCAATTAAATCGCGCCAAAATTAATAGGGAGGGTTATTAAGTAATTTATTATTAGTCGTTGAAATATTTAAACTAGTTGCCAAGTATTGTATCTCAATTGTAAGTTTTTTCTTCTGACTGACCTTTTCTTTCTTGGTTTAATTGTACCGTAATTATTTTAGTTAAAGCTTTCTTCTACTCCTGTAAATTCTTCACGTCTTTTTATCTGACCTTAGTCCATTTAAGCCCCCGACTTTGGCTGTTCTTGTGTATTTTTCTTCCAATGTGTGAATAGCAGGAATAAGAATAAAAAAGAAAGAGACAGTACCTCGTATCATGTATCCCCCACCCCCACCCCACCCCTCTTATCCCTCTTTATGCAGCAGCTTTTCTACAAACTTTCCCTTTCCATGCCTCAATCTGGGAGGGCGATCAGCACATTTGCTACCACCTTTGTTTAATTGAATTTGATTGCGCGAGCTGCTTCACAGTCTTACTGTGTAGGCTTATGATGTCATTTCTCTTTGAGCTCCTAAAAGTCTATTTTAAACGGGATGGAACAGGAAACTCGCGGCAGAACTTGGCAGGAACTTCGCAGTTAATCGCGGAGGAAGCGTTTTTTTTTTCCGAGGCACTTGTTTATTGACGTCATTATCGCGCACAACAGGATTTTTTAATTAAAATCCTGTTGTGCGCGCTAATTACGTCAGTAAACACGTTCGCGGAATTGAATTTGATTACACGTATTTTTTATTTATTATTTATTTATTGCATCCATTTTTGAATCACTAAATAAAGCCTTAAGTAAAATCACGGACATAATTCAGGACATAATATCATGTTTTCAGGAATAACCCTCAAATTTTTGAGCATAATATATCCGAGTCTATTTATATCTCGATGAACGCACGGAATCTAATATCGAGGGCTCCTGGGTTCGAAGAAACTGAGTCATGTGATTGTCAGCAGATACACTCAGACACAACATTGATATTCTGTTCTGACAGAACACAAACTGCGATGGAGCTGGAGGGAAAACTCGATCTTCAACTAAATGTTGTCGATCAAAACGGATGTGAATTAACCGATAAAAAGCCACATCTTTATCAGACAACACACACAGTAAGGTATGTCGAAAAATCGTGAAGTTAGACCAACTTTCAGGAATTTGATATTTCATTTCAGATCGTTGTTCCGCTTGTAGCAAGTAGTTCACTTTGTTGTTAGCTTTAGGAACTTGGAGCCGATCTGAGAACTAGTTGGTTGAGGGAAGGTTTCGAGGAAGGACAATAGTGTTGATCGAATGGATTCTAGTTTATCTTGATATCTTTCTTTCACACCATTCGTTGCAAATTAAAGTTTACAACTAATGAGTCCAATTTTTTCTGTTGCTTATTCACTGCATCAAGAGTTTGCTTTTTTGTTTATCTTGGTGTTAATAATAATTTACGCACACACGAAGAATATATCTGCAAAGGTTGCGATTGGTTGGCTAAGTCAGTACTATTGAAAATTAACCAATCATATTGGAGCATGATGCTTCCCAAGTTGAACTGTAACCAGTTTACAAGAGGAGCAGTTTGCCATGGATATGGCACAATCCCCATTGGAAGTGAATGCATCACGAGACAGACCAGATGACTGATCATTGTTAACATACTTTGATGGGTCATCACTCCAAGATCTCAATTGAGTGATTCTCCTTACTGTCTGTCACACAATTGTTATGATGGCAGTTCAGAGAATTTGTTATTGGATCAAGTGATAATTCCCAAATTTATGTTTTTCTTTATTCTCATTACTTGTCTTCTTGACATTGTATTGATATTGTTAAGAGAAAGTCTGTCTTGATCACTCATTTGTAGCCAGTTCACCTTATCATGTTAAGGAGAGGAGTTGTTTCCCACAGAAATAGCATAATTCCCATTGGAAGTGAAACATTAAGAACCCCTAACTCCCTTAAGTAACTTCTCTCAAAAATAACCATCCATTACCCAACAAACAGGTGATGAGAATACTTGAATTTATCAGGTAGAGTTATCTTGATTAAACTCCAAATTCGGGTAATTAATTTACGAGGAAATTTGTGGCAGATTGAGGGAAGAATTAACAATGGGATATTAGGAGTTAAAAGGCTGACATACTGCAATGCATCATCAGTACTCTCTTGCTAGGAATCTAGGACAGGTTCTGTAGGATCAGCACAAAGGTGAGGTCTTGATCCAGTCACGCACACACAAAGTTTAGAAAAATTCCTATATCAGACGAAACAATTCCTTTTGATTTCCTATTTCAGATGGAAAGAAGTTGTGCAATGGGTGAAGGATAAGCTGTTAATCACTGACTCACTGGCATTTAGTTATTTTGATGATGAGGGTGACCTTATATTTGTAAGTAATTATTTTTTAATTAGTTCTTATTAACCAAGCGGGAGGTCTGTACCCGAGAATCTTGACAGAGGTCGCTAGCACAGACCAAATGCAGTGAGGTCTGTACCAGCGACGGAGGTCAAGATTCTCCCATACAGACCAACCTAGCTCGGTTAATAAGATGTTTATTACATGGTTGTGTCTTACATGCCAATTTTTTATACTCTTTGTATCTTTTTTTCCTAGACCGGTCTAGATGCCAGTCTAGATGGGAAAATCTAGACCACTTTCAATATTGATTTCAGCCAATCAAATTCATGAATTTGGTAGTTGCCAGTCCTTGTGAGACACAACCATATAATAAGTGACGATTAATTACTGCCATTGAAGCTCCATTGTTCAAAGCAAGATTAAGCTAACATGCTGGACCTAATGTCCAGAGATTATGGCTCAAATCCTAGTAGTCCACTAGTATACTGAGTTAGACAAAGGAAGATTTGATAAATTGCTATGGATTGACCTGCTTGAGAATAGCAACCCATTGAGTAGGAAAACTGATTGAAGTCAAAATCCACAAGCCAAAGAGATTCGCATTTTTACTAACGATTCACTAAAGGTAAATGTACATAAATGAGCCAAATATACAGAAAAGGAAAGCAAAATGAAGTACAAATAAAACAGGGAAAATGATGTTAATAACGAAACTTACAAGATTATATAGCGACTACGACGACTAAAACATAATGAAAACAGCAACAAGAAAACTACAGCAGAAGAAGCTCTACCAAAGAATAGAAACAATGCATAAAAAATGAACACGAAAATATGAAATGTGACGTAACCAAGGAAGCAAGTGTACGTAGGAATCACTCATGAAGAAAGATTTATTTTGGAAAACTCAAGGATACTGTATTTGAAGAGCGAGGGTTTTCAGAAATGGGAAGTGGCCTGTGGTTTTACTATTGGAGAGTAAAATAATTTTGTATGGTTTTTAGAGATTTGAACAGTAAATGGAATTTTTTGTACATTTCATGTCATTAATTTATCCACATGTATTTATGATGAAGGGAAATACTGAGCAAGAATGGAAGGAAGTGTTGGAAAACAGACATGAAAATAAAAATGGAGGTGGATCTACAATCTCTGTCAATGTTCTTCTTTTGGGAAAAGCTAAATCTTCAAGTTGTTTTAAAGAAGTAAAGGTATGTTTTTATCTGGCAAAAAATATGAACTTGTAAGAACAATGTAACTGGGCTAACTGTAATTGCCTGCACCTGCCCACAACACAATAACATAAATATGCACTGCATATTTTTGTTATTGTGTTGTGGGCAGGTGCATGCAATTACAGTTAGCCCAGTTACATTGTTCTTACAAGTTCAAATTTTTTGCTGTGCCCATTTTGCACTGGCATAGTTTATCATAAATGGAGAAGGCGTTTTTGAAGATGCAAGAATGAATCATATTCTGATATGGTGGCTGCCTCCTGTATGTTTGGTGATCAATGCTTGTCGTAACCTTTAATATTCAACATTAAAAATAATAAGTTCACCAGATCTTAAAGAGGATATATAGCAGGCCATCCTCTCAGAGGGCCTTTGATGGGAAAGAAAAAGAACAGAAATTGTTTGTACATTCTATATCTGATTCATTCATCTATTATTTTATAATGTAGGGAAACACAGAGCAAGAATGGAAGGAAGTGTTGGAAAACAGACATGTAAATAATAGTGAGGGTGGATCTGCAATCTCTGTCAATGTTCTTCCTTTGGGAAAGGCTAAATCCTCAAGCTGTTGTAAAGAAGTTAAGGTATGTCAGTAATCATAGGTCAGGAAGTAGGCTGTACGTAAGGGAGAATAAGTGAGTAGATGTGACAACTGATTTTAGGGCAGTAAAAAAGTTTGAAAGTAGATGGTAAATGAGAAAGACAATCAAACCTGTATTAGCAATCATCCATGGGGAATGGTGGGGTAACCACAGAGTGGAGTTTGATAAAAATTATAAAAAATACCCTTTTTTTTCCCATACTAATGTATGAAAACTCACTCAAAAATGCTACTAACATTTGTTCAGGAGATTAACATGGATTAAATTTTACTCAAAATTTAATTCCTAGTTCTATTTGAGTTGTTCCCCTAATAGAGAACGATACAATTAGACTGTTGGGAGTCAGTAATGGAAGACTGTGACCTCTTACAGGGGCGGATCCAGTAATTTTTGATTGGGGGGTCCAAAATTTGGTTCAGAAGGGACTGTTGGACTTTTGAAGCAAATTACTTCTCCCCACACCCCCCACACCCCCTCCTACCAGTTGCAGTTGCACATTATAATTCCTTGGCCGCTTCAGTACTGTTTACTTAGATTCATTAAAAAGATCAGCCAGTTAAAAAGTGATATACAATCCTGTCAATGTAAGAATTTCAGTTTCTAAGTTGTAAGCGTCAGGTCTGTTGGGGGGGGGAATCTGGACCCCCCAGACCCTCCCCCTGGATCTGCCACTGTCTTAATAGAGGTGCCTGCTTAACATGAGTGAAAACTACCAACAGTACTGATTACTGCAGCATCACAGCGTATCTAGGATGAATGAATGCCATGTTGTTTGGTCAGATCTCGCCCGAGACTGGCAACTATTCAGACAAGTTGTTCTAACTTGATATATGAATTGATGTGATTTGTTGTAGAAGCCCACCAGTTGTTGTGCAGGTGTACAATCTAAACCGTCCTGCTGTGAATTTTTGAGGCCCCTCCCTCCTGACCCAAGTGTTATCAGTGGCCCCCTGGAGAAAAAGTAAGCACAACAATGTTTTAGAAAGTTCAAAGGAATGTTCAAATGTACTGTTTCATTACTGGTCAGAAAGAAGGAAAATACACACTGTAAAAACCGTCATGGTACTGCATCAATCAATTTAATGTTTCAACATCCCCCGCTTTTCCTAGGCCTTTGAACTTTTGAAGATTGGTTTGTTCAAATACCTGCCCTGTGGGCCAAAGTTATATTAAAATGAATAAAGGCTGATGGTTAAGAAACTGTTTGGGGCTGTGTCGGTGGGGGTAACGATATAATTTGGATATATCAACAAAGTTGAAATGGCAAATTGGCCACCGTAACGATTACAAAAGTTGACATTTCGAGCGTTAGCCCTTCGTCAGAGCGGAAGGGCTCCGACTAAAAAAAAAAGGTGAAAAAAAATTGAAATGATTTCAACTTTGTTGATATATCCAAATTATTATATTAAAATGCCCTACCCAAGTGCTGGATTAGATAATCAATTTTTTTAAAGCCAAGATCAGACCTTGTAGATCCTTTTTTCTGGCTATGCCCACACAAAAGTGAACTCTTTTCCTTTAAACACCTCTATTATATTAAATGATAAGACAATGTATTCTGCAGAAAAGACTGGATACTTACAGTTCAAATTCCTCACCCTGTGCCAGGCAGGTTAAAATTTCCCACCCCCCTCCCCAAGCACAGACAGCAGTAAAATGCCAGCTAATTTCCCAGTGCGAATTGCATACAAAATTAAATGGCACCACAATCAAAGGAGTCACGATGTCAATAATAGTGAAAATTCCAAGAAAAGCTGTAATTTAGGTTATGATCACTCTCCGTAGCATAACATTTATTAACATGATATGACCTGTCGGGTCACACTCACCAAATAAACCTTGAGCCAAATATTTTCCTGTCCACCCCTCCCACTTAGTTAATAAGTACATATTATCACTCTCATGCCCAAAATTTACACAGTCATATTTTTTCCCTACTATCTTCTGCCTTTTGTCTATCTGCAGAATGTGTTAGGAAAAGCAGTCTGATGCAATTGACATACATGTACCTTTACCACATCTGAGTTTCAAAAACCTTTCTCATAACACACATACTGTGATTTAAAAAGGGTTCATAGTGTTCCCAAGGACTGGGAACTAGTCTGACCATGATGTCAAGTAGATCGGAAGGTCGTTTTGTCATACTGGTGTAGCTTGTTATTTTGTTAAATTAAATGAGTTAAAATTATGAAGAATTGTTTTGCTTCAAACCCAGCACTCATTCAGAAGTACACATGGTTTAGTGTCATTTTAGATTGTTTAAGATTAAGCTTAAGGCTAACAAATTAGCATCTTCTCAATAGTATAAATTTTGCCAAAGGTTCCTGCTGTGTTTCAATGAAACACAAGGACTTTCTGTATTTTTAATTGTAAATTTAATATTGTTTTGTATTTAACTTATCTAATTAGAATTGTATTTAAGAAGTAATTTCACTCTGTTTTTCCAATTTTTATTATATATTTATTTTATTGTGATTGTATTAATTTGTAATTAGGCAGGTCCACATCAGGACTTCGGTCTTGCCAATCTTTCTAACCTGCATTGTTAAATATAAAGATGTATGTATGTATGTAAAACTATGTAACTATGTATGTATTTTGTTTCGTCAGAGTCAACCCACTTCTGGGCGAGTACAAGTACAGTAATGATGCCCTAAGAGCTGTTACTCTTCCCCTTGGACCAATAGGTATGTGAAAAACAAATATTCTATGAAAATGTATTTTTTTATTAAGGTGGGCCTCTTGTGGCAGACCATGTTAAAAATTTGCTTGAGTAGTCAGATATGGAAATTTTAATTAATGATTCAGTTAGTTTTATTTGACAATAATTATTTATGTTTATTTGATAATTTAACTTTATGTGATGGCTAAGAATATTTTCTGTGCTTTTTCAGGTGGTGGGTCTATAGCGTTAGCTGGTGATGGGGGTCTTCGCCAGTGGCAGATTACCAACACAGTCAATCATGTAGCTCATGTCCCAGATTCTTTCTTTGCCATTCGGTTTGTAAATAATTTGTTTTGGTTCAGTTGTTTCCCAAGTTTGTTGTCAAACTCACAAAACCACAGACTCTGGAGATAACTGTTAAGAATGTTTATTGACGTGTTGTTTGATGGGAGGTTCCAACCTTAGAGGCAGAAAACACTGAAATTTCTTCAAGCCCTATTATATCATAGCCAAGAAATAGCTGTAAGTTGAGAGTATTTATGGGTTAAATAAGTACTATGGAACAGTTACATGTAAAACCCACAGGTTTGATTTGGGGTGGGAGATCAGGAAATGTAAGCAAACTGCAACACCTCAAGGAAATTAGCTTTGCTGAGTGCCTAGTCACATTCCAGAAAAATTTCTGGTGTTCGAGGTTTTCAAAATTTCACAGTAATACATTTCCAACTTGTACAAATTTGTTTCTGAATAAGAGACAGTAAAACAAAAATCATGACGGTTTGAAAAATTTTAAATCAACAAAATTTGAGCCTCTTGATAATTGATGTATCATTCATTTACATGTATCTTAAGAGTGGATCAAGGAAGCTCGAGTAAAGCTGTCATTCTTCAGTCCAGCACTTGGTATGATGACGAAGGATTCACTCCTGCAGCATATGTCACAGACCATGGTAGTTGGCTAATCTTTTATGGAAGATTATGAGAAATCTGCAGCCCTTTAATGCCTCCATTTCTGAACTCTATGCATATCACAGGGAATTTTTTAAGATTCCCATTTGGGAATTAAATGGGAAATTTTCCTATTACTGGGGATTATCTGGGACATAATATTCCTTTATGGGATAATTTTGGGAAGTGGACATCTCCCAAGATGCCATAATTGGGGTTTTTTTTTTTTTTTTTTTTTTTTGGGGGGGGGGGGGATGGCTTAAGGTTTCTTGTGTCCCAACATTGGGAAAATATATTATATACTTATTGACTGAGTAGGAGAGCCATACAGGAAAATATTTGGCTTGAGGTCATGACCCACAGACCAAGCACAGCAAGGTCTGTGCATGGGTCATGAAATTAGCTAAATATTTTCCTGTCTGGCTTGACCTAACTCAGTCAGTAAAGGCATTTTATCATATGACCACTTTGTTTTAAAAAATTTGAAGAGGTAGTTTTAACCTAATTAGAGTGCAGTAGACTTGCACACATGGTAAAGTCTGTTTACGAGCCTAGCGGCCCATTAGGCCTGTGCTTAACTCCTGTTTCTGTAGCATGAAGCGACTAGGAGTATTTCTACTCCCCCCTGGATGGGATGCCAGTCCATAGCAGGGTTACCCCCCAGCATTAAATTGCCGGTACCCATTTATACACCTGGGTGAAGAGAGGCACTGTGAGAGTAGTCTCTTGCCTAAGAACACAACCCAATGTCCTGGCCGGGGCTCGAACCTAGACCACTTGATCTGGAGTCGAGCACACTAACCATGAGGCCGCCGCGCCTCCACAGACTTGCACACATGAGAAAACCATTAAAAGGATTCTACAATATGAGCTTTTCCTTTTATTTTTTCAAGTCAGAACTAGAAACTGACAATTTATTGAAAAAGTGACTTACTTTCTAATTGTTGTTTACTGCTGTCACTTGTTTTTTGCTACAAAAGCAAACAATGTAGTTGTACAAGTACACTAGGATTGGATAGCTTTTTCCAAACCAGCTCATGTCAACCCATCCGGCCCTGTACATGTCAGCTTTCACTGTGGTTTTCAATGAGATTGCACAAGCAGGGCCAAACGGGTCATATAAATATTATAATACCCTCTATTTTAGACCTAAGGAGATTTACTGGTCTCAATTCAACTTTCTTTTGTAGTTGTGCCAGATGGATCTAAACAGCTCCTTGGTGAACTACCAGGAGTAAAAACTTTAGAAGTAACTGCAAAATACCCCATTGCAGAAGGTTTGTCAGTCAATAATTTTAAATAATCAGTTCTTGAAATTGAAAGGCAAGAAACCTTTAAAGGTTATCTTAAATAAAAGTAGTAGCTCACTAAATCTTTAAGATAGCAAAATAGAGCTATTTCTGTAGCATTTCTGATAATTAGTATTTGGAGATATGCTCTGGATGTAGTGCTATATTGGTGCAAAATACATGTGAGGGGTCAAAAAAATGCTCTTATTTTTAAGGGGGGGGAAACAAAATATCTAAGATGGAATTTCTGGGGGAAGGGTGCATGGTACTAGGATTTATTCAATGAGTAATTAATTTTTTGTGAAGAGCATTCAAAACAATATCTGATTAATTATTGCTGAAAAGGTGACTCCTCCACTTGTAGTAGACTTATATGACTTACAGCCTCCATTTCAATTTCCTTGTTTCAATTCTTGGAGACCCTCCCAAACCTCCCAATGCTCCCACCAGCAATATCTTTTACCTTGCTGGCAGATCATACTGTAAAATATGAATGAGATTTCTTTTTCTTTTCTAGTGGATGTTTTGAGTGATGAGGTGCCTGTCCAAGTGCACCTAGAGGCATTCAACCCATGCATCCCTCTAGACTCCAAGAACAGTGGAATACCAGTGATCATCTTAAATTACACTGTGACTAATTCGTCAAATGACGCAGCAAAGGTAAATCATCATGCAGTAAACTTGCCTTACTGGCTCTTAGGAGATTCAAATCAGAAAGACTTCTTTGAGGTTTACTGGAAGTTGTGTTGGTCATTTACATGTACCCTCACAACAGTCCTTTAACTTGTTTTAGGTTTCATTACTGGGATCCCTCCAAAACATTGCAGGCTGGGATGGACTGACTCCAATTACTTCAGAAGGTGTGAATTTGTTGGATTAACTAATGTGTTCCTGTAATTCTTTCTGTCAGAAATTACATGGGTGCAACCTGGAGAAATTGAAGTAAATGTACATATTCTCTTAACTTCTTGTTGTTGTCTTTGGGTTGCTCTTTATGTGGAACTCAATGGTAACCCTTCATCTTGCTGAAATGAAATAATCAGGCCAATCTTACCACAGATCACTGATAAAAAGAGATGAATTTATATTTGAATTATAGTATTTTATCTAAATTCTTCAGAGGATTCTCTTGCTTCTAGTTAAGAATTGTCTACCAAGTAATCAATGAATGATTTTTGAGCAAAAAGAGGCAATCAGGAGCCATGTGTGAAAGATTGCTGGTAGACCTTCTTCACAGATGGAGTGAATTTGTTCAAGTGCAGTTGCAGTACACATTAATGCAGTCTGTGTAATTGGTTCACTAGTTTGTGTAGTTGATGGAATTGGTACACCTAGTGTAGTTGGGGTAGATCTTGTGACATGTAAAATTTAGATTAATAAAAATCAAAGTTTGTAAAGACAATTTTTAACAATATTTTTAGCTTTTTTTACTACTTGATTTACTACATGAATAAAGATGAGAGATGTATTTGATTTGTTTTGTATTGCAGTTGCCTGTCCTGGATATGGTGGAAATATGAACAGTCTCTTGCAGAGCAGGTACCATTGAAAAAAGCTTTTAGTTTGTACTTTCAGGTAGTAAAGTGGAATGCTGATTGATATAATTTTTCTTTCAATAATGGACCCAGTTACCTTTGTTAACCTCTGGTACATTGTACCATTTAAGATATAGGATGTGTACCAAATTTGTTTTCACATTTGGAATCATTGAATAAAATAAATGCTTTTGTTACCTTTTAATTTTCTTTTTGTCAAAATTCATCTAGCCGTCTGTTTGGTATTGACATGAGTAACCAATCCTTGGAAGAGCAGAGTGCATCAAATGGACATGTGTCAATCTCAGGTACTGTAAATGGACATGTGTCAATCTCAGGTACTGTAAATGGACATGTGTCAATCTCAGGTACTGTAAATGGACATGTGTCAATCTCAGGTACTGTAAATGGACATGTGTCAATCTCAGGTACTGTAAATGGACATGTGTCAATCTCAGGTACTGTAAATGGACATGTGTCAATCTCAGGTACTGTAAATGGACATGTGTCAATCTCAGGTACTGTAAATGGACATGTGTCAATCTCAGGTACTGTAAATGGACATGTGTCAATCTCAGGTACTGTAAATGGACATGTGTCAATCTCAGGTACTGTAAATGGACATGTGTCA